AATTTACATAAAACACAAGCAGTTTTGTCCTCACACTTGATGAACCGACTAGAAATTGCTCATCAGACGGAAGAAAAAAAAATATTGAAACTCTGTAAAAGACAAACATGACTTAGAAAAAAAATAAGCAATGGAAAAATAAAAACAAGGGGAGGAAATAATATTGGAATGTTTAGTAATTACAATAACGTGAGAGAAGTGACAGAGGTTTGGTGTGGTCGAGTCAAGTTAACTTATAGGGTAGGAAGTCTCGATTTAACACAGCTGCAAGAAAAACAAGCAAAATCAACACAGCTACAAGAAAAACAAGCAAAATCAACACAGCTACAAGAAAAACAAAACAAAATCAACACAGCTTTAAAAACACACATAAACAAACAATAAAAAACAAAACCAATCTGTGTTACTTAGTGAACTTAACATAGCAAAGAAAACATTGTTAGTCATTGTATTAAACTAACATTACTTGAGGAAAAACAATTATATAGTGTTGTCATGTTAAATCAACTAGCAGAGAGTACTGTTGTTGTTGTGTCAGCCTGGAAAAGAAGGTCAGGTGGAGGTGGTGTGTGTGTGTGTGTGTGTGTGTGTGTGTGTGTGTGTGTGTGTGTGTGTGTGTGTGTGTGTGTGTGTGTGTGTGTGTGTGTGTGTGTGTGTGTGTGTGTGTGTGTGTGTGTGTGTGTGTGTGTGTGTGTGTGTGTGTGTGTGTGTGTGTGTGTGTGTGTGTGTGTGTGTGTGTGTGTGTTAAGTATAAAGTAGATGTTCCCTTTTGCAGGTCACCACCACCACCACCACCATCAGCTCCCACCTCGCTCCTCGCCTCCGAAATTTAGAGAGTGTAAACCAATGGAGTTCTCGCTCTCTTTCTCTCATCTGTTCTCTCTGTCTCTTTTCTCTCTGTTCTCTCTCCTTCTCTATTTCCCCCCTGTCTATCACTCTTTTTCAATTCTATTTCTGTCTTTCTTGCTCTCTTTCATTACATGTTCTATCTGACTGTTTCCTATCTCTTTTAGTTGGTCTATATTTGTTCCTCATAAGTTAACCTACAGCATTTGTCTTGGAGTGAAATAAAGTGAAAATTATTATTATTATTATTATTATTATTATTAAGTGGAAAATAAAACTGCCTACAAAACTAACCTCTGTAACATTTATGAATTTGTGTGTGTGTGTGTGTGTGTGTGTGTGTGTGTGTGTGTGTGTGTGTGTGTGTGTGTGTGTGTGTGTGTGTTTGATAACATGTTTGTGTCTGCTTATCTGAGTAGATGCCGGTATTCTCATAAATAGGTTAGTATGTGTGTTTGTGTATATTTGAGATAGTGTTTGTGTTTGCTTGTATGTTTATCTGAATGTATTTCCATGTTTGTGCTTGCGTGTGTGTATCTGAGCGTGTGTTTGAATATTTTAACAAGCATCAGCGAACTTACAACTCAGATCTACAACAAATATTTTATCTTAGAATTACAAATGAAGAAAAAAAAATGGTTAGAGTTTACATGTAATGAAAAGTGACTTGGATTATAAATACCACAGAAATATTACTGAATTTACTTTACACATACTCGTTTTAACACAAAGTTCTTAAAATAAACTTACCTTTGTATTTGATAACAAGGAAAGACTTATTATACAGTTTCCACCTCAAGGGAAACCATTGTTGTCGATTATTATTATACTTCACGATAATAACTTAAAAGATTTCCAGCCTTTAGTGTATTTATCAGTTCCTGTTCTCGTATTGATCATGAGTCGAGGTCAACAATGATTTAAATTAACTTGTGTTTATTTATTAAAGTTTTTGTTGTTTTTTTGTTTTGTTTTTTAGCTTCAGAGAGAATTTTTTATTTTTTTATTTTTTTAGGTCATGTTTTTATCCTCTGTAAAAAGAGTGTTTTATCTTCCATGAACTTTATTTTTGATGTATTTTTCGGGGAATTATTAGTTTTTTTTTTTCGTTCTGTAACCCCTTGTTTACTAGGGTGGAAGGTGGTGGGTGTGGAGGGGTGGGTGTGAAGGAGTGGGCGTGAAGGAGTGGGTGTGAAGGAGTGGGTGTGGAGAGGTGGGTGTGGAGAGGTGGGTGTGAAGGGGTGGGCGTGAGTGGGGGGTTGTTGTAACACAGTAGTAAAATTATAACATCAATCACCTTAGGTATTTTGACCATTAATGAACCTTCACATTGATTCCACCAAATTAAGAATCATTACCTTTACCTGTAATTACCTGCAGTACATATTTACATACATAAGCTTTGGGTTAATGACTGATATAGCCGTAGTGTTCTGTATTCGCTGAGGGTTAGGTCTGATTGGTGACTGGCTAAGCAGCTTTAAGGGAGGAAGTCTTATAACTTGTCTGCCATTGTGTGTCGATTAGTTTCACGTTGCTCTTCTTAATACATACATACATACATACATACATACATACATACATACATACATACATACATACACCTTATAAGTTTTGTATGTCTGTTTGTCTAATCTATATCTAAGTTAATATATTTCTTATTTACAACCGTTTACAACCATAACAAGTACATTTACGTCCTGTTTACATTAATAATTTACAACTATTAGATTTTAAAGTTGGTTTAGTAATGCGATATGTGTGTGTACTGAGTTACCTGCGGTGGTCATTTGCATATGAATTTGTGTTTAGTATATACTTAGAATTTCTCGCGGGCTTGTGAGTACATGGTTGTATAGTGTGTGTGTGTGTGTGTGTGTGTGTGTGTGTGTGTGTGTGTGTGTGTGTGTGTGTGTGTGTGTCCTCTCTCAGGTACACAAGGTTACCTCTAATTACCTACTTATTCACAAAAACTATCAAGGGTAATTACATATTTAAGACACCTCAAAATAATTTAACTTATAATTTTTCCTTGATACATTTTTTTTTACTTTAATGATGTCGTTAATTTTGTCTAAACGATGTATTGATTTTATACACGTAAATCCCAATTGACTTTTATAATCAATCTTCTATTTATTTATTCAATTTTTAACTATGTCATTATTCACGTTCCTATTAAAGAGTAAAATGGTCCAAGTGAATGAAATCAAACGCCAGATACACAATACCTGGGGTGATATTGGTTACACACAGGTGATAGACGACAGGTAGATAACACTGTGGAACCCTTCACACTCACCTGTACCCTCTAGACCTCAATTAACACACCTTAACACCTTCTGTCTTCATAATATCAATCTACACTTTCTTTACCTCTTACAACACCTACCTACAACCTCTACATCTTATACAACACCTACCTACAACCTCTACATCTTATACAACACCTCCTACAACCTTCTATAACATTTACAACACTCACCTTCCAGAACTCAAATAACACCCCTCTACACCCTCTACCTCCCTAACACAAATCTACACCCTCTCTACATCTTACTAAACCTACCTACACCCACACACAGCTACACACCTTAATGTAATAAACTACAGTACCCACACACACATACACCTGACGCTAGTGCCTGTAGAATGGAAAGACCTGTTTAATACACCCGCCTACACCCCTCAGAGTGTATCACAGGTGTTCAACAGGAAGACTTCAATACACCCAATTACACTCACCTGTCTTCGGTAACTGTGCTGTAGGACCAGAGGGAGGAGAGTGAGGCTCCAGTACCTGTAGAGTCTGAGGCTGTCTGGCCGGACTCTATGCCACCGTATTGAAGCTCTGCAGAGTCTACTAGCCCTGGCAGCAGCTCTGTAAAGGGGAGAATGAGAGTTGGGGGGGGTCGGAGTAGTGTGCCATGCTTATAATGCTGGTGTGGTTTATTGACGTTGTTACATTGACAGACAGATAAATAGACACATGCAGTCTCAGTAGGTCTTAATAGGTTTCAATAGGTTCTCAAATGGTCTCCATGGGTTTTAATAGGTCTAGGTAGGTCTCAACAGGTCTCAGGAAGTCTCAATAGGCCTCAATGGGTTACCAAAAGGTCTCCACAGGTTTCAATAGATCTCAATAGGTTTTCAAATGGTCTTAGTAAGTCTCAATCCATTTCAGTAGGTCCTAATAGGTCTCAACGGGTCTCAGGAAGTCTCAATATGTCTCAAAGGGTCTCAATAGGCCGCAGTAGGTCTCAAAATTTCTCAATAAATCCCAAAAGGTCTAAAAAAAAGGTCTCAAAAGGTCTCAGTACACTAAAAACATAAATCAAAAGACCATTGAGACCTTCCCGACTCCATCAAATTTCCTTTTCAATTTCCGTCTTGCTCGTGAGGCCAAATTTGAGTCGACATGACCACCGGCCAAGGCCCTTATATAAACTCTGCCTGGAAATACTAACTGAGAGGGAGACCGGGTTTTAGGGAGAAGGAATGTTTTATGCTTAAGATGTGATTGGTTCTTTGTTTATTGTTGTGATTGTTGGTAAGGAAAGGGTTTAATTGATAGTTTGTGATTGTTTATTTTCTTTATTTTATGTTTTTTGTTTTGTTCCTCTCTCTCTCTCTCTCTGTCTCTCTCTCTCTCTCTCTCTCTCTCTCTCTCTCTCTCTCTCTCTCTCTCTCTCTCTCTCTCTTAGATTAGAACGAACTGATCAGAGGAAGTGTACTTAGAGAAAGACAGGTATTAAACGTGTAGGAGAGAGAGAGAGAGAGAGAGAAACATCATTTGTTATGGAGGTCTGGAATTAGGAGTTACTTGGAGGGTTTGAAATATATTCCTCTTGTGGATAATAATCTACTCATCGCGTTTTCTTTGATGGCGGTGTGGAGGAAAGTGTAATGTGGGTTGAGTGCTGTGAGGAATATTATGTTTAGGTGGGTGTGTGTGTGTGTGTGTGTGTGTGTGTGTGTGTGTGTGTGTGTGTGTGTGTGTGTGTGTGTGTGTGTGTGTGTGTGTGTGTGTGCGTGTGTGTGTGTGTGTGTGTGTGTGTGTGTGTGTGTGTGTGTGTGCTTCCGAAAACACAGAAAATCATGGAATTTCGTGCATTAGTTTCTGGTCCATTGACTCTCTTTGCTTTCACGAGCTGAGGTCTGAAACGGCTTAGTCACCAGCAAGGTCTTACATGGCCTTCTCTCTCTCTCTCTCTCTCTCTCTCTCTCTCTCTCTTGATACGAAATATATTCCATTTCTCGGTTAATGTGAACTATATTCCTGTCCTAAGTTAATAAGATACAAACTTCACCAATTTTTCTAATAAATGACGCCCTTAATGACCTCAGCTAATATACTCTTGAATCAGATTAATTTCCTGAGTTAGAACAGCAATATAAATCGTGGCTAATTAGAAAACAATTATGCTGTTCATTCCCTTTATTGCAAGATAAATGTACAGTCGAGTGTGTGTGTGTGTGTGTGTGTGTGTGTGTGTGTGTGTGTGTGTTTGTGTGTGTGTGTGTGTGTGTGTGTGTGTGCCAATATCTTCTTTCACAACATAATAATAACCACCTGTAATTAATTTACCTGACAACAATTAATTAGAGACGGACTCAACATTCACTACAGGTGACCCCAATTAAAGTGTGTGTGTTTCTCCTCTTATAATGGCCCATTACTCTCTCTCTCTCTCTCTCTCTCTCTCTCTCTCTCTCTCTCTCTCTCTCTCTCTCTCTGGCTTTAAATTACTGAACTATCAAACAGGTGCCGAGTCTCCGCCCCTCTCACGTGCTGATTGGCTGGGAGAGAATGCGCGAATCTTGGCACTGGTGCTGATTGGCTGAGAGGGAATACGTGAATCTTTGAACCTGTGCTCATTGGCTGGGAGGGAATGCGTGAATCTTTGGTGCTTGTGTTGGATGATGGTCTTTGATGCCATTCAGAGACGTGATGAGAAGGGGAATCTGGTTCATTCCACACGTTAGATAGAGTCCTGGACACTCCGCTCTGCTAAGGATGATACCCTTTATTGCCCTAGCATATATACGAGCTAATTTCTCCCACCTGACAGAATATAGAGATAATCACATTCAACCTCAGGTACAGACGAGTGATTCCATATCGTGGTGTGTACTGAGAATCTGGACACTATCCACAAGGCTTAATGGAACAGGGAAATGATGGCTAATGTAGTTTGTGTTAGTTGGGATGCGTTTATTATCCACGTAATTATTGAGTGTTTGTGTCCGTGGTGCTCAGTGAGAGATGAACAGACATATATATTAGATTAAGTTTGTAGAAATATGATGTGCAGGTCAAGGTAAACTGGGATAATTAAGAGAGAACAGGTGATAATGTTAGGTGTGTTTTATTGTTTTTAGGTTTAATATATTTATTACGTTTATAGGTGATGTCTTTTATATGGTGTGTGTGTGTGTGTGTGTGTGTGTGTGTGTGTGTGTGTGTGTGTGTGTGTGTGTGTGTGTGTGTGTGTGTGTGTGTGTGTGCGTGCGTGGGTGCGTGCGTGCGTGCGTGGAGTATATATAAACTTATCATAAAATTATACTGATTTTCTCTGTCGCAATTTCACCAAATTTATCAAAAATATTCCCAACTCAAACTGATACGAACAAGGGATGAAAAGTTGAGTCTTATAATATATATTTATATTTTTTTGCCTCCTTGTCAGAAACTCAAGTCCTGAAGCTGCCAGTGAACTTCCCGAGGTGAAAAATTTGAGTACTGAAAACTGGTTACAGAGGAGGAGGGGGAAGGAGAAGGAATAAGAGCAACAAAGTTTAATTTTTTTTTAGAAAGAGAGAGAGAGAGAGAGATAAAACTAGAAAGAAAGTTTGAGAGTTTACGAGATGTCTTTAAAATAGCTCAGCTGGGGGCCATGGACATCGCTATAGTTGTGTTAACTTTCCTCAACTCGATCCCATTGGCTGTTCACCAGGAGAGAGAGAGAGAGAGAGAGAGAGAGAGAGAGAGAGAGAGAGAGAGAGAGAGAGAGTAATTTTTACGGCTGGATGGATAATGTTCCCTTGAGCTCTACATAGTCACGACATATACCTGGGTGTTTGTGTTTTACCTTATCACAATCAAGGTATCGACTCAGTCAAAAAAACAAAAACATTACTGATACTAAAATTGAAGTATCGTCTTAATTCAAAGTTGATACATTTTTATTAATTTACTAGTGTTGGGTTGTGTTTAAAAATATAGTTTATAGTTTTATTTTATTTGAAACTTTATTCGTTTAATGTTAATTGGTTGATAATACGAGGAAATATATATACCAACATTATATCACTTTACTCATTCATTAATATATACTGTAAGAGATGTAGTTTATCTTAATATTTCCAAAAAAATTCACGAATCTAAATAATTTTTGTTTCTCACTCACACATCATCATCATCATCATCATTATCTATCATCATCATCATCATCATCATTATCTATCATCATCATCATCATCATTATCTATCATCATCATCAGCATCATCATCATCATCATTATCCATCATCATCATCATCATCATCATCATCATCATCATCATCATAATCCATCAACAATTCTTCCTTCTTCACAAACCATTCGACGCCATATGCTATCCACTCCTTCACGCTCACTCCTTCACGCTCACTCCTTCACCCCCACTCCTTCCTTCCTTCCTTCACCCCATCCTTTCATCTTATCCAACATCTGCATTATACAACTATTTTATTTTACACTTTTATCTTACTTCCCATTCATCTTCTCTTACCCATATCTCCTAAAGAGAATCTCTCCTCCTTTCTCTCCTCCTTTCTCTCCTCCTTGCTTTTCTTTCACTTCTCTCTTATTTCTGCCTTTTATCTCTCTTTTTTTAATCTCCTGGTTCGCTTTTATGTTACATGTTACTTTCACATTTTATATCAGACTTATCATTTTCATCACATCAAAGGAATACAAATCAAGAAAAATTTGCAAACGTTATTGTAACTTGGAATCATTTGTATTTACTCTTTCAATCACAATCAAAAGTGGTGAATATTATTTTATTAAATTATCGTCCTCAAAGGGTTGAATCATCGTCCTCAAAGGGTTAAATAATCAACTTCAAAGGGTTAAATCATCGTCCTCGTATGGAATAATAGGAGAGAGAGAGAGAGAGAGAGAGAGAGAGAGAGAGAGAGAGAGCACAGCTAGGGACTAACCACAATAATGCTTAACTCAAATTACTAATAGAAAGACACATTATATATAAAACCAAGAAGCCACTCCTATATAATCTTCCATATATATACTAAAAGCACATCGTTAACTCTCTAACCTCAACACTGTACTATAAAATTGCCCGGGTTTATTCTAAGGACCAGCTTTAGCTTCAAAACTGCCAGGCTACAGCTTAATCCTAACAACACAGGGAAGAAAAAACTGACAAGAAACAAGAGAGGATCACAACAATGGGTTTTAGAGAGAGAAAGAGAGGCTCCCAACTCCTTTCTCTCAGACACTCGAGGATTTAAGGAGGATTGAAATAGATTCAGGAAAATATATGAGAGGTAAAAAGGATATTGCGTGAGGGAGAATTGTGAGACGAAGAATCTGAGAATAGACATCTTGGGTCCCTCGATTGATGTAAGGGATTGTAGTTCTGTCACGACATAATACAGGTAAAGGTGAAATTGGTTATCGTGTCCCAAACCTTGAAGGAAATGCAGCGTCTTGAGGTGTGTTTATATATTGAGGTGTGGTAATATTCTTCTTTGTTATGACTGTATATAAGGACGATCTTGTGTGTTGTAATGATAATCAACGTATGTGGAGAATACCTGTACTAACCTAACCTAACCTAACCTAACCTAACCTAACCTAACCTAACCTAACCTCTACAATAACAAGAAGAGTGTGTGTGTGTGTATTCCTTGACACCTCTCACACTCCCCACACCACTAATACCCCTGACACCATTAACATTACTCACCTCCCTCTCACCTCCCTCTCACAATATTTAAAACAACACCAGGACTAATTAGAAGACACAGTCGGTTCCAATTAACTCCCTCTCAATTTTTTGTCTTTTATTTTTGTTTCGCGAACTTCATTGGGAACTGATATGAGGGTTACCAACTCGCACACATTCCATCAACTAACGCGATGTTGTAGATAGTGTGTGTGTGTGTGTGTGTGTGTGTGTGTGTGTGTGTGTGTGTGTGTGTGTGTCTGTCTATTTGTTTGTCTATGTCCTGTCTAGATTACTCGTCAATTTCACCCTGACAGGTAACACTCATTTCAATATCTCTTTCACTGAGTGTATCATTTTGTTTACAATTTATACCTTATAGAAAAAATCACACACATAAATCGTATATATTTTTCTCCTCATAAAAGTCAACATAACATTGATTAAACTTGCATATACAGTAACCTGACATTGACCTAACCTAACTGCGTTCTGAGTTAGCAGGTTAAAGGTCATTCATTACCTCCAGGTCATTAGTGTAAGTGAAATTAATCTTGTTATTAAAGTTGATTGTTATATATCAGTTATCTCAGCCTTTGTTGATGTGTAATAATACTACTACTAATAATAAACGGTTTATTAATAGAGTTGCAGCCGGTGACTGAAAATCTACAAACTTACATGTGATTTAGAAATAATAATATGCGTTGAATACATTTACAGGGCTGTACAGTACATAAATCAGGAGTTGTTTATTATTTTAGCAATAGATGGGATGGTGCTGTTCTTATATCTATCAGTGCGGGCTCTTATGGGCTGAATTTTGTTGTAGTGGCGGACTGCGCGAGGTGCGTGTGTGTGTGTGACTGTATGTACATCTAATTATTTCTCTAGTCCTAACCTAACCTAACCTAACCTAACCTAACCTAACCTAAAAACATATCTTACAATTTCATCAATAAATTTTTTCATCACAAAATAACTTTACAAACATTTCCCCCAAAACATAAATTTCAAGCTGTCTTTCTGTACATTAGTCCGTGTAGTATAGTTGACAACAGTAAATTGACTACGCGGGTAATGAGTTAAGAGTCAGCTGGAAAAGGGATTAATGAGTTTAACACTACAGAGTTTGAGTAATGAAACAGTAGCAAGGGAGTAACTTGTTCCTCTTAATGTAAGGTGTCAGAGAGTAAGAAAACACACAATCACACACACACACACACACAGACACACACACACACACACACACACACACACACACACACACACACACACACACACACACACACACACACACACACACACACACACACACACACCTTCTCAAGATCCTGATAAACGTTAATTGTTTTTAAGTCCCTCGTCTTCATCAATCTATCTCCCACACTCAAGGCTTCATAATTGTTGTTTAGATTTCGTTTATTCAATAATCTATCCACTTCTAATTTGCTCTTCTTATTCCCAGGTGTATTAATACTCACTAGAACTCATCACTGTGTCTAATTTTAATCTGATTTATAATATTTTAAAGTGTCATCCCTCACAGTCTATCATGCAACTCCATATTTCGTCAGATTTTAATTTTGCTCGATTCTCCTGAATTTACTCCCTTCACCTGTCCCCAGCGTATCTCTCTGCTTCCCCTCAGCGTCGCTTCACATAAATTAAGAAAATCTATGTTTCTTTCCTTTATCATTCTGGTTTGTTCTTTCGGCCTCTATTCATTCCTATCCAGTCACATCAAATATTCCAAGTGTGATTTGCTTTTGTTTATTTTTAGTAGTTTAATAAAAGAATGGTAAGGGTTCTGGCTCCATGTTCCCTAACTAGGAAGGGAAATGCTTCATGCTCACAGTAGATGACCTGTTCCCACGCCCATAATCCCATAATATATATATATATATATATATATATATATATATATATATATATATATATATATATATATATATATATATATATATATATATATATATATATATATATATATATTCAGACGTCAAATTTTTCATAGTGGAGCTCCAATATTTCAGAATGATAAATTTCTCCTCTGACACGGCCTGACATGTACATTCCTGACAAATGACTCTCGCATATATAGCAAAAAATACAGTTGACTTGTTTCGGCAATAAAGTAAAGTGTATAATCTGCTCTGTGGAAAATGGAACATCGTTTAAAATCCCAGATTTTTTATTTTTTTTAACTTATTTATAATTTCTTTATATAACAAATGGTATTTTTTTCATAATGAATTTAAAATATTGGCGAAAAAATACTTAACATATATTTGTACTTTAAAATGAACATGAATTTGACTCTGATAATCTCTGAAAAAAAATCCTCCTTTCTTAAAAAAAATAAAAAAAAATAAATAAAGGTTAAAAAACTCGCTAAAAATAATTAAGAAATTTCCATAAAATCCAACGGCCGGTGTTAAAATAATTGACTCAAAGGACATACATTTATCACCATAAGTTAGCTGTCTGATGATGTAAGTTAACACATGTGAAGTATAAATCATATGACTTAAATTTACATTATTGTGAACTGGCCAGCGTGTAGATTAATATTATATTAATTGAATTATTCATGACGATTATATTACACAGAATAGGAACGTAAGGCCACAGATATATTTCGTAAATATATATATAATTATTACAAATATATTTCACACGTTAAACTTATTGATATGGTGCCTGAAGTAGATATATTTCACACCCTGGTCATATTAATGATGAGGGATATATTTCTCATAAATTACCTGGTACATGATTTTTGTCAGAGTGTCTTTAGTTAGATTCATTAATTATATCAGGTTAAGCACGAAGTTAAATAATTACCACTGAGTTAAATATGGTAATTTGATCCATATTTAATTATTTTTACATTATATTACTCAATATAATTATACAGTTGTGTTGCTTTACATATGAACGAATATTTTTCCCCTCAAAGAGTAAATTACGGAACCTGGATGTAGTGTGAGTAAAAGATACACAGGTAAGGTTATTTTCAGGTTGTATTATGTAGTATGAACGTCATCCTAAATTCACCTTAATGTTTAAAGAACAGAAGGAACTATAGTAAACAGTTTCTATTATGTTATATAATTGAGAAATTACGGAGATAATTGTGTCATTATATTAAACAACCTGGAATTAACCTTGGGTCGCGTATCACATCCAGGTCATATTACAGCGTTTTAACTTCATCTTAATACACCATAAGGTAGAATATAAGGAGTAATTCGCTTCTGGACCCGACCTCCAGGAACCTCAAATATATTAAAACATACATACATACACACACACACACACACACACACACACACACACACACACACACACACACACACACACACACACACACACACACACACACACCGGAGACTGATGGATGAGTTTGAACTGAATGTAGCGCTCAGTTAAATGTTTTTCAAGAATGTGTGGGTGGGGTGGGGAATGGGTTTACCAATGAAACATCAGCTGGTTGAAAACAATAATATTTACGTCATAAACTCAGGATGTTTAGGATGTGTGTGTGTGTGTGTGTGTGTGTGTGTGTGTGTGTGTGTGTGTGTGTATGTGTGTGTGAACAATAAACGAGACTCACCTTGAGGTAGGGTAAGGATGACACCTGCCAAAGGGGCCAGGTAGATCAATAGCGTGATCATGGTGACGTCAGTACTACATCCTGCAACAAATAAACAAACACAATATTAGAAAACAAAAACAATAAAAAACTAAATAAAAAAAAAAGAAATCCCCTAAAAACAACAAATTTCTCAAAAGAATTTAGTTATAGATAATTATTTTATGGACTGTACTTAACATAATATACATAATAGTTAAAGAATTTATTTTATAATGTAACACAACTCAATACGTTGTTTAAATAACCTTAAATATAATGACTTTAGAAAAATATATATCCATTATCACATAAAAACTAAGTAAATTCTCAAATAATGTTTAGTTTTAGTGTTACAAAGTTTTCCATTATCCAGCAACATCTATCCTGAAACACACTCAACACTCCAACGCTCGTTAAACCGGAGATAGATGATGGCGTTAGAATTTATCTCTCCCATCCACACAAAGACAATGCTTCCCCCCAGAGGCAAAATATAATGCTAGTGGGGGAAATAAAAGGTTGTTTATATCCCCCCACACCCAGCCATTACGATATCATAATATAGGGTCGGTGAGGTGCGGTGCGGTGAGGTTAGGTTAGGTGGGGTGTGGTGGGGTGAGGTGAGGTTTGGTGGGGTGAGGTTAGGTTTGGTGGGGTGTGGTGGGGGGAGGTGGGGTGAGGTTAGGTTAGGTTTGGTGGGGGGAGGTGGGGTGAGGTTAGGTTAGGTTTGGTGGGGGGAGGTGAGGTGCGTTATAGACAAGGCTCACCCCCAATCTGTTACCCAGGATGAATTACAGAGCATCAGGGAATTAATTATATTATACTGTTGAAGGTTCAGAGATTCCTACAACAGAGGGTCGACACACAGCTAAACATCCACAGCGGGTTAGTGGAACAATCACTAGAGCATTGCATGTAATTGGATTCGTAATCGCTGAGTGTATGCCTAGGTCCCGACACACACACACACACACACACACACACACACACACACACACACACACTTTGACTACATATGTCCAACAGCTTTAGAAAATATTGATGTAATCATATTATACTTTATATTTTTATTACCATTCTGATTTATTAACTTACGTATTAATTTAAACACAATTTCCTTATTTTTCGCTGCAATAAGGGAAATAAATGAAGAATGACGATAAGAACTAATGGTGATTTAATTATTAACAGGTGAACGACTTAGAGGAAAATACCACCCCCTTCTAGTCAACCCCCTTCCAGTCAAATTTCTTCAGTCACCCCCTCTTAGCTCACCTCCCTTCCCCCAGAAGTCATCTCAGTCACCTCCCTTCCCTAGTCAACTTCTCTAGCCACCCTTCCCAGTCACCCTTCCCAGTCACCTCTAGTCACTCCTCCTTCCAGTCACTTCCCAAAAAATACGCTTGGTGCTCAAACTTAATTTTAAAGTTTCTCACACACACAAACCCGAGCTAGTGTTCATATTTCAACCACTATTTCAACCAGTAAGGTAAACACGATAATACTGTTGAGAATATTAAATAGCTTCTTTTATTTACTCTTGGCGTGACAGAAAAATTATGGAGAATTCATGATTTTTTTTCTTTTTATTGATTTTTTTTTCAATTGTGTAATGTTTTGATAAGGTAATGAAGGCGGAAATAATTATGGTGAGTTCTTCATTTAATATGTATATGGTTATGAGTTTTGAAGTCAATGTATTATTTATATTGAAAAATACTCAAAATTTACCGTATATGTTAGCAAAGTAGTGTATGGGTGTATGTATGTATGGGTGTATGTATGTATGTGTATATCGCCATTTGTGTACCCGTGTATTAATTTGTATCTTAGTGAGGTAAAAATATCTTTATCTACATCAATACTACACTCATACATCTAATTCATTCATAATAATAATGGATAATACCTCATAAATGTCCCTTATGAATGTATAACTTCCATATACATTGAATATCATACAAAGTTACACCTTTATACACCATCTCCAACACAACAATCAAGCAGAAAAGTGTAAATAAAAAAACTATATCAACTATGTGTATTGGTGACGAAATATAGCCAATGGAACTATAGGATATATATTTTCTAGTCCAATCGTTCCCGTTTAGCGATGTATCCCAACTGACCTACGAACGATATAGGGATAATTCTTTGATGGTTCTTGCTATAACACCGTGAAATAACATAGTGGATATGGGATAAAACTCTGTATTTTAAGGGTTATATATATATGAACTAGTTGTGTACACTGTTGTATGTTGGATCTAATGGTCGTTTACTCTCTAATACTGTGATGCTTTGTCAGAACACCACTCATATTCATGGTCACACACCCCCTCCTCATCTGCATATTGCCTTACGCCACATCTGTGCTCCCACACGTCTGTACCTGTGTCGGTGTCTTTGTTGGCCCATTAATTATTGTACCTCCTGCTGTTCCTGTTGTTTTTGTTTTATTTTATTTGTTATTTGTTGCTTTTGTTGTTTAGTAATGGTGGTTGTTTTGTGTGTTGGTGTTCATAATACTACTACTACTACTACTACTACGACTACTACTACGACTCCTACTACTTTTTTGTATTGTGGTCTCCAGCCTCCACCAATAGCCACACCTTCGCCACCATTTTATTACCTCACTACTACTACTACTACTACTGTTATTGTTTATGCTGCTACTATCATTACTCCTGCTGCTGTTCCTAATGTCTCTGTTACTGCAGTTACCGTTGCTGTTATTACTGCTGCTGCTGTTTTCGCATCATCTATAATATTGGTGCTCTCACTAGCAGACAACCCCCATGTTACTGTTCACGTGTTGAATTACTATTGGTATAATAACTACTTTTGTTCACACATATTTACTATTGCGTCTATTGACTCTCGTGTGTGTGTGTGTGTGTGTGTGTGTGTGTATGTGTGTGTGTGTGTGTGTGTGTGTGTGTACCCATGTATGAGTCTATGTGAATCTGTAGTGATGGATCAAAATATTCCCGATGGTATCATGTTAAAAAAAAATGTTTTATATACAGGTGAAATACGACTGTATGGTGCTAAAAATATGGCGACTTGTGTTTGACAGAATACCCCCCCAAAAAAATGAAACAGTGAATTTCATGATACAAAAAAAATATATATATTTTGTCTGCTGAAAGAAATGAATTGGTTGGTGAAACATTAATCTTCGTTCGGATATTCGCTAGTGTGTGTGTGTGTGTGTGTGTGTGTGTGTGTGTGTGTGTGTGTGTGTGTGTGTGTGTGTGTGTCTCAATTTTGCTATTATCTTCCTGTCTTCTCTCTCTCTCTCTCTCCATTCCTCCCTCCTTTCCTCCCTCTCTCCGTTTCTCCATTCTTGTCTCTCTCTCTCCTTTTGTTATTTGCTTCAGAACATCAACAACAGAGCGACAAGTTTTTTTTACAGAAAGAAAAACAAAGATAAAAGACAAAGTAAACGAAAGACAAAAAAAGACAAAGAAAAAATGAATGAATGAAAGAATAAAAGAAAGAATGAATGAAAAAAATTGAAATAAATAAATGAACTAAATAAACGGAATCTGATGTTTTCTTTGACTTCATCTCAGAATGTATTTAGGAAGCAGCACAGGTATGTCTCCTAGCCAACCAAGGAGCATCAAACATCACAGGTATGTCTCCTAGTCAACCAAGGAGCATCAAACATCACAGGTATGTCTCCTAGTCAACCAAGAAGCATCAAACACCCCTCCTATAGGTGAAGACGAGGCACTCCTTCCCTCTCTGATTATCTTCCTTCTTGCTTGATCGAGTTTGATTCTCCTCTCCTCCATAAAGGCATCGGCTTCAGGGTTTCACTTCTTCTCTTCCTCCTCTGGAAATGGGATTTGATTTCTTTTCGTTTTGTTCCATAGGATGTCTCTTGATTCTCCTGGTAGTCTCCACGCTTTTATTTACACTGGGATTATTATTTATATTACCTTTTCTACGCATTTGATATAGATTTTGAGGTTGTCTCTTAGTTTGTTTGGGAATAGAATTAAATTACTTATTTTTTTCTTTATTTGGTGTTAATCTAGTTTCTCAAGATATAGGTTTAGATTTTCTTTTGTTTTTCTTTATCAAAATGAGACAAGACGCGTTTGAAGGTGTTGTTAATATTGTAATGTTATCAATGTGAATCAATAAATAACCCACTAAGGCCTTTTAAGACCGTATCTAGGTTAGTTATTACATTAATCTATCACTAGTTAGAAAGTATATAAGAGTTATGACTTTATTAAACACTGAATGTATTACTGTGTGTTGTGGAGGCTCGTCTCATAGTGTAAGTCTTCTCTCTGGTCTATGAGGTGAAATGTGAACCCCTTTACTTCACCATCAAGGCGAATGGACAGCAGTCTTCCCTAACATGTTTTACGGGTTCCTTCCTCCCCTAGAGAGAGAGAGAGAGAGAGAGAGAGAGAGAGAGAGAGAGAGAGAGAGAGAGAGGAGACACGAAAAGAGAGAGAGAGAGAGAGAGAGAGAGAGAGATAGTATGTAAGACTATTTTGGTTGTAGGAAGTTTGGTTTAGATCAGGGTGTAGTGTATGTATGTAAGAATCTTTCATCGCTGCTGTAAAGTCCTTCCTTCTTCAACACCCAAATCTCCCTCCTTCAGTCCTTCAGTGCTGTAAAGTCCCCCTTCAGTGCTGTAAAGTCCCCCTTCAGTGCTGTAAAGTCCCCCTTCAGTGCTGTAAAGCCCCCCTTCTTCAGTGCTGTAAAGTCCCCCTTCAGTGCTGTAAAGTCCCCCTCAGTGCTGTAAAGTCCCCTTCAGTGCTGTAAAGCCCCCTTCAGTGCTGTAAAGTCCCCTTCAGTGCTGTAAAGTCCCCTCTGCTGTAAAGTCCCCCTTCAGTGCTGTAAAGTCCCCCTTCAGTGCTGTAAAGTCCCCCTTCAGTGCTGTAAAGTCCCCCTTCAGTGCTGTAAAGTCCCCCTTCAGTGCTGTAAAGTCCCCCTTCAGTGCTGTAAAGTCCCCCTTCAGTGCTGTAAAGTCCCCCTTCAGTGCTGTAAAGTCCCCCTTCAGTGCTGTAAAAACCTCCTTCAGTGCT